TCTGAATCTAACAGATTCTAATATGAGATGTTCTAACATCTTCCAGCAACCATGGAGACAGTGTTGTTTTTTTAATAAATATCCTTACCATCTGTTTTCGAAGATGTTTTGGTGTATCAAATAACACTGGTAACCATTGGCTGAGATCTGCAGTTATATTCCTATGAATGACAAGGCCATGTTTTTCCTCTGTAATTTCCACTCTTTAAATAAGTTCACCAGCAATTTGGGATAAACGAGACATTCTGATGGTCTGTAGATTAAAATACTATCATAAACAGCCTCAGGATGCAATAAACAATCTGAATTTCCAACAGTACATGTTTTTACTTCAATGTGCATATCAATCAATGATATGGTCATGGTTATGTGAAAACGATTCAGAGAACCGAACCGGGACAATTTTTATACAAGAACATCAGACATGAATTTTGAGTCTGCAAATGTCCGTGTTCCGCACCATCTTGCTACTTTCTTGAACCATCCTCCATCATGGCCTCAACCAGGTTGTACATGACCAACATGTCTCTCCAGGCCAACACCTGACACCCATCATCAGGAAGAAATGTGCACAAAATGGCCCAAGCACGAACACAAACAAGGCCAGGGAAGGTAGTCGCTGTAGGTGCACAAGACCACATAGGGGTGATGTGTTCTGGGGCTGGTTGAGGTCTTGTGTCGGTGCTGTGACAGCTTGCTCTCCATGGCCTGTCAGATACATTCACACCTAGCCTGTGTTGACCGACCATGTTCCTGGCCCACTGCTCCACCATGTACAGTGCTGCTGTCAAATAAACCTGCCATTCATCTGTGACTGACTTGTGAAGTATTCCAGAAGGTAATACCTGTGAAGATCGGGGTTAGAATTGGTTTTCAGCAACCCATGCTTGTTGTAAGAGGCGACTAACGGAATCGGGTGGTCAGGGTCACTGACTTGGTTGATGAATGTCATTGTGTCTAAATTAAGTCGATTTCTGCTCATCATGTCTGTCACTGGATTGTCTGGTCTCGACTATTTCAGACTGCTGCCATATAGCTGCAGTATTGATGAGTGCTCGCTGACTTGGTTGACACATGTCATCGTATCCTAACTGCGTAGATCGATGCTCATGTTGATCATTAGACTGTTTGGTCCAGACTCGTTTATTCACAGACCGCCGCCATATAGAAATTGTAAAGGCACTACCTATATAAACAGCCTGACATACAAACAGCTGTGCACCAACACAAACAATTTTTATTGTACACAAACAACTATAGATTTCTCCATAATATAATGTCATTACTTGCGACTAATGAGGTCAAGCGATTCCGTCCCCCATGTGTTGCCAATGACCAGACAATCAGGCCACTCAGCCCACAGGATGAATACATCAGCTGTATGTATATCAGGCTGTTTATGTAGGTACTGCCTCGAAAATTTCTACATGTTTCAACAATAGCCCATAGTCCAAGAACAAATATCCACTTTGTATGGAATACGGTTTGCAGTGCCTCCCACGTTGAATAGGCTTCTATCAGCCCAGAAGGTCATGATGTTATCAATATTTTCTCAAGTTATGAATTTATATTTAGGTCAAAGTACACTTCAGTTCATCCAACATGACATCGATGTGAGTGAGTTGGGTGAGTGAGTGAGTCAGTGAAAAGTATTTCAGTTATATCACATATTTTATTAGTAGTAAGTTATGAATATATATTTAGGTCAAAGTGGTGAGTTTTTGGTTTTACGCTAATTTTAGCAGTATTCCAGCAATATCATGGCGGGAGGACACCAGAAATGGGCTTCACATATTGTACCCATGTAGAGAATGATAAAATTGTAAGGGTTGGCATCTCTGACTGTGGTGCCACCTGCAGTGCCAGAGCAATCAATAAATGTGCCACACATACTACAACAAAATGATCATTATTTCATTCTACCAAAATATGACCCAACTGATTCAACATGGACTAGATGACCCCAACCACAAACTAATATCACATCGAGAGTCTGTGTTCACACCAAAAGCTAAGTTCAGTCAGGGAAAGGTCGTTCTCGAAAGCAAGACGACTAAGCTGTCACTCTCCAGTAGTATTTGCATGCAGCGACATTCAAGTGTGAAGGAAAATGTGCGCAATCTGTGCACGACCAGGACAAGCCATCCCCTTACTTACAACCACATAACAACCCCTCCCCGACTCCTGGAGAATGTGGCCCAGTTTCAGTAGACTTGCACAAGTCTACATGGTAATAAGTAGCAGTTTAGTCAGTGAGTAGTTTTACGAGCTCTTAGCAATATTCCAGCAATATCACGGTAGAGAACAGCAGAAATATGCTTCACACTTTGTACCCATGTGGAGAATCAAACCTGGGTCTTCAGGATGAGCAAACGCTTTAACCACTAGGCTACCCCACCAATCAAAGTACCAATATAAATCAGAAGGTCTCAATTTTATGAATAAGAACAAGTCGTCCCTATAAGAGATTTGCCGTCCGTCTGCCTCTCTAGACTTGCCTCTTATTGGTCAGAATTCATTGGCATCTAGACATATTATTCAGTACAGTCCGAGAGTAAGGCTATGCTTTCAGTAGCTTGTACTATTCCTGAAAACACTCTCAGGGCCAAACAATGCTGAACTTTACAAAACACCCATCAACATGACATGCTAACTGAGATTTTTTACATAGCAAAAATTCACCTAGAATGTCACGATCAGGACATGTAAAGAGGGGTTTATCTGCGTGGCAGAATACACTCATCTTGCGAACACAGGTATCATCTAAATTTGACCGTGATTCTAAACATATGCTCATGATACAGTTTGAATAAAACAATGGACTAGGCTTTCAGCTGAGAATTATCACTTTGAAATGATTTTGTCACTCTGTGTTTATAGATTAAACAGAATTTACAAATAAATCCAACAGAAATTTTAAGTTGTTTGACAGTTGAGTCATAATTAACAGACAAGTGACAAGTTTTTGAAGTGACTGAACCAATGATCCATGTTTGAAGACGGCTCAGCAGACTATAATCTCCCACTAACAGGTTATTACTCCCGATCATGACACCCCAAATATGAAATATTAAGCAGCCAGCTCCATCTGTTCTCAAACAATGACCATTGAAACAAGCATTTAGATACAATCTTGTGCCTGTTCATTGATCCAGGACTTGAAGGAATGGAGGGACAATTATCATCAAGTGAGATTCCTCTACTGATTTAGGTGGTGAGAGCAAGGGTGTTGGCCTCTTGTCTCCTGAGATTACGCCATCTGTTCTCCGCATGGATCCGCACACCCAGAACAGATCATCCAAATCCTCTCCGCAGCTTTTGTTCAACTCCCATCAGTCAACACTGCCATGGACATTGTCTGGTCAAGGGTCCTTGTCAATATTTCATGGCATCTTGCATTGCCATTATCATCCATTTTTAGAGAGATACAAAATCAGAGTGAATTATTTTGACTCTGGAGTGATTCTGTGAGAGGGAGCCATCAAGGTCCTATTTTATCATTAGTGGTATTGATGGCGACCATCATGTGCCTCTGTGGTTGCTTTGGATCCCCCACGCCAGCTTAGTATCTTTCTTCACTCCTCCATTGCCTTAAAACCCAGCACGACTTCATCATTAATTTGCCCAAAATAAAAGATTTAGCCAAAGACCTTAAGGAAAATTTGCAAGAGCAATTCCAATAACACTTTGTGATGATCCCAAAAGTGAAGAATAGAGGTCTTGGAGGACTAATGGTTGAATTTCCTAATGTGATACTTCAGAAGGCTTGATGCCATAAATTATAAAATATTGATCAATTCAAAATGGACAAGGAAAAAAAGCCTAACTGGATAAATCCCGGCACAATTACGAAGAGTCTTCTCACCACTGGCGCGAGTCCCGCTAGGTGGCCTAGAAGTGACAAATGCCTTGGAACCTGCCCTCGGGATAATTGCAGCTAAAAGACAACTTGTGGATACTTGAGACTGGCATCGTGAAGTATTTGTCATCTTTGCTCAACTCAACATCAGTCATTAAATGATCGTTATTATTTTATCACCTTCTCACATGCAAGGGGCACTTTAAAAATGCTCTCAGCTTGACACCGTTGCCCTTCGGGTTATTTAAAACAGTCTCTGTTGCACTCACATGAACAATAGTACAATAAGTCGAAGAATATGTGCCTCAGAATGAAAAATCATAATTGCATCATCAGACAAAAGAAGGCAGCATGCAGGGTTTAATAGTGAGTGAGTGAGTTTAGTTTTACGCCGGTTTTAGCAATATTCCAGCAATATCATGGCGGGGGACACCAGAAATGGGCCAGGGTTTAAAACAACCAAGAGTTGTGCTGAACGCTAAAGTTTCAGGTCTAACCGAGTGTATCAACTTCATATGGTATAACAGACTAAAGAAAAATTATGCAGATTATAGGCATTACATGATGATGACAAGTCTGGTCCCTGTGTTGGTTCCATGTTAGAATTAGTCCCAGCACCCTCTGCTGGCTGGGTGGTAAGGCTCAGTGACTTGGTGACCACATCTCATTGCACTCCCATGACACAGAGTGCTGCTCAAGGTATCCATCACTGGATTGTGTGATCCAGATTTCATTATTTACAGGGCATTATGTATCTCGAGTAATGCTATGTTGTGCTATCCCCATTGCCAACATGGGATCTGAACTCATGATGAGCAGATGTAATCATGACCGACCTATGCATCTCTCCAGAGCTTACTGAAATACCCATGTGGCCATCTGTGACCAATAATATTTAGAAGGTTATCCCGGTAGACGCTAAAGTATTTTGGCTTTTTTTAAACTGTTATCCAAATTGCTAATCTGGGATTGAATTCATCATGAGCAGATCCAGGCTCAAGGCAGCAATGCATCTCTGCAAAGCAAAGTGCAACGCCTTTGACCATTTCTCTTCCCGTGGAGAATACCTTCCAGAAAAGCCATCTGGCAGATTGTACAAAACGTGTTTGGTTGTTTATAACAATTCATGACCAATACTCACTGTAGGACTTCCATGTTGAACTGTTGCTGCAAGTTGCCCAGATATTCTCCTATCATCTGCTTGCTCAGACCTTTCCGTAGGATGAAGAACTTTGCCACACTTCGTGGGGAGCCCTCTAAAAATCCATGGTCCAGTAGGAAGTTCAACCCTTTGTCTGGTTTCCTGAAAGAACACAGCACATCATTACCCATCAGTTAGTCCAGCCTCGAGAGTGAGTGAGTATGGTTTTACACCGCTTTTAGCAATATTCCAGCAACATCATGGTGCGGGAAACTAGAAATGGGCTTCGCACATTGTACCCATGTGGGGAATCAAACCCAGGTCTTCGTACACTAAACTCACTCACTCACCCAACCCATCTTTGACAAAAAGAGGAGTTGTTCCTGACATTTCAATTACTCCTGTTTCCAAGAAAGCATAATTTTCTTACTCTTAAATCTTTTAAATATTTGCCACCGTCGTATAGTTTGATTAATTCAGTTTAATCTGTTTCCGACTAGTGCCACACAATATTCTCTCACTCAGTTTTTTCACTATTCTCTGATCAATAATTTGTACAAGTTTGATTGCAGAAAGTTCTGTCCAGATTAAACTCAAAGAAATGCAAACCTCCCTACAATAAAACTAATACTGTGAGTCTTGTCAAAAGCTAACTGCCTTCATTGTTCAAAGGAAATCTCTTGATGATACTGTTACAAAGTCGCTAACACGCTTGTATGGTATCTTTCATCTGCTGCTCCCGCCTCACTGGCGCTGACTCGTGCACTCTTGGTGTGCACCCAACCAAGCAGAAAATCTCGCCAAAAAATTGATAAATATATGGCTGGCAATTCTGATGCCTGTGAGCTGTGGGTGTCTAACGGACAGACCATATTGTCTTGGTGGTGAGGTTTATAATGCTATCCCCGGAAGCGGTGATATTATCAGGGGTTGGAGACGAGGTATTACTGTTAACTGACTGTCCCTCGTGACATGATTAAAACCATTTCAAATCTTCCAGCATCTGATAAACACATATTCATTTGCAATATTTTTTAGTTCAATCTCAGCCTTTCAACCTCATTTTCCAAACAAAAAATGGCATTTCTTTGTTTATCCTGAAGTGATAATACTTGAAACATGATCCCACTCATGAACTGATAGTGTGAGTGCGATCTGCATGTCAGTGATTTTCAACAGTTTTTACAATAACATTGACTGTGGTCTTTTTCTTCACCAAATATAGGTAATCAAATCTTTCCCTGTAAACATTTCCTACTTTCTTCCATTAATAATATATTGATCTGAAATGTCTTTAATGGCATGCATATCCTATTTAGGATATACACTTAGCCTAAATCTTAAATAACATAGGTAATATCTCAGGCCATGCAGACATATGGTGAATTCACGAGGCCTCATTAAGGTTTCAGAAATATGTTTCGCATTATGGCTCATTATTACGCAAAAGAATATCGCAGATATAGATAATCTGTGTGCTATTAGGAATTCCCTTATGATGGCTGAATTATGGAACAAATTGAGGATGCAAATAAGGGACGGTTTAATATTACCCAACCTAAGATTGGCCTCATCTGTCTAATGCATTCATTTTCGGAGATGCAAAAAGCAAAATGTTTTGACCTGTGGGTTTACAGCTGAGGCCAATGAAAATAAACAGATCCAAAGAGAATTGAGCAGAACAGGAACTGAATGGCAGAAGCCATCTTGCTGCCTGTTTGGTAATTATAAGGCCATTTTAGGAGAGTTGTACTACTTACTTAACAAATATCCCACTAACCAGCCACACATGACGTCTGCTGCAAACTGGCAAGACATTTTTGAAAATATTTTTGAAAGAACATGACCTTTGGACAAAATAACATCTTAATGTGTGCCTTAAATGAGGTTGAGACATTTTTGGAAGAGAATGACAGCGAAATAATATAACAAATTTTGTGAGCACATTTTCCCTTTGATCAAGAATGATGGTGTCTCAAACGAGATAATTTGCTCCATTTTCTTGTGAAGAAGGAAACATGTCCGAGCTGATGATCACTGACAGGGCAGTAATAAAGAACACTGAGCTATTGAAGGATGCTATGTCCCTATCAGAACTGACACAACTAAACTGAAATACTGTTTTACTCCCTGGAAACAAGATGGCTGATTGCTGCTAACAGACAAGGGGAAACATGTCTGTTCAACACTCACACTCTTACGTCTGTCACGTTATGAGTGATGCACGTGTTCTCCAGGAAACCATTTCATTCTGCTTCTCCTCCTTTGTTTTTATCCCAAGACATTTAAAGGCCCACGTCACTTTCTTACGAATATGCCTATTTATATCAATGCATGCATTTGTTAAAAAATCAAATCTGATGACCAGAAAGCAAATAGCAATTTGAGGGTTTGTTGTTTTAGTGTTTGTACAACTATCATGGAACCCATAATTTTGATCTTGATTTTAATCTATAACAACAGCCCCTTCCTTTCCATAACCCTGAACCCTAAACCAAACCCTAAGGATTGTAGACTGGCACTAAAGGTCACTAGAGCGTGAGCGATATAGCGAGACAGCTATCTATTTATCTATAGCACCACGCAGTAGTGACGTAAGAACGTTGTTCTTATTGACACATTCCTATAACTCAAACCAGGTCATCAGACCATGCACAGTTATCTTCAAATATCTTTTTAAACTGCTCATATAAATGAACATCTGATCTTATCCAAGTTAATAAAAAACTTTTGAAATAAAATGTTCACAAGAGAGAGATGACGTCAAAGGTATAACACATCCATCTTGTCAGACGATCATAATTTTTTGCAAGGTATTTTTGAAAATTTACAGATATCAAAATCTCTCTTCACAATGTTTTTGTTGAGACTGAAATCAGGGTCATTTTACAATTTGTTCCTGAACATGAAACTGATGCTATTTCTATGCTTCGTCAGACTTAGATTTCTACATAGCGCTAACCATAACACACATGATACAAACGAAAGAGCTTCCTTGTTTTGTTTTTTTTACCATGAAAAATTATTCTGATAAAGAGCCCAGACAAACAGCCATTGACTCAGTCAAACAGATTTGTGCTGCTTGAACACATAACTTTGTGAATGAATCGACACACGGGGTGACTAACTATATTGATTTGGGGAGGTACAAATAAATCTTGCATGTAGAGCAAACACAGTAGGACATTCCTCTGTGGAATATTGATGATTGTTCAGCTGCTCAGGTTCTACATCATCTTGGAAGGAACAGAAGGCAGCCTAGAAACATAGCTCTGGGTTCCGTTCTCCAACGCGATCTTAGCCCTACAATTGTCGTAACACAATGTTATAGTATGTGAGTTACGATCACCTTAGGGTTAAGATTGCTTTGTTGAACAGTTCCCTGACTTCCAACATTAAGGCTATTCCATGAAAGTAAGGTCCATCCTGGTTCGCAAAGGAACTGAAGCCTTGAAGCATGATTACCTTAATCTAATGTTAAAGGTATCCAGGCTGTTCTTTCAAGCCATCTTAGTATTAAGACTACTGTTGTGTGCCTAAAATCCCACTTGCTGATAGATTATGTCCCTTTTGTACTAACGAAACAGAATATGAGTAACACATACTCTTGATTTGTCAAAAAATATCGAGAAATACGTAAACAGCATTTAAGTAATACTTTATTGGAAAATATAAGTATGTTTGAGTTTATCAAATTGTTAAAATGTGAAAACAGTTCTGAAATATTGAAAGCTGCAAAGTGTATTTATTATATCTTAAATGAAAGAAACAAAATTGAATTTTTGTAAATAGTTCACACATATCCTCACTCTTGGGCAATAATGATAATAACAATATGATTGCTCTCTATATACGTACCTCGACATATGCACAGGCAAATATTCAGTATATTTATATTGTATTGGTCTTTGACCTAATAAAAACTTTGTCTTGTCTTGTATTACTAACACATAAAGTCCCTTTAGTGCTAAGATCAGATTACAGAATTGGGCCTTGAAGGAATGCTAAATGTTAAGAACGTGTTCTTGTACTTTTTGGAATGTAAGCTGCCATAATGACTTCTATCTCTGCAAACAGTATGGAAAGCATTGAGTCTGGGTCTGACAGCCTAGTGACTGACATCATGAGCATCTATGCAAAGCTGTTAATCTAACAGTGAGTCAGGTTTTGCGTGGCTTTTCTGCAATATCACTGCACAGGACACCAGAAATGGCCTTTACACCTGTACTATTGTTGGGAATTAAACCCAGTTCTTCGGCGTAACTAGGCTACCTACCACCCCCTAACCCAACATAGAGGTAAGGTTAAGTGATCAGATTTGTTAGTGTAACAATACTCTGACAGCTGTTGCCCAATACGTAACAGGTACTTACTTGTTGAAAAGGTTGAGTCCAATTCGGTATGCCCTCTTGCGTTGCTTGTCATTAGTTCTTGGCATGGTCTGTTGGTCGGGCGTGACACTTAACCGTAGTCTCCTCTGATAACTAATGCTGTTCTCACTACAAATACTAATGTTCTCCGTGCTGATGTTCTCGGAACTTGGGGAGCTAGAGCACTGACCGTCAATACTATCTGGTTCACTCGTTTCAGAAATATTGCTCATACGTTTCGCTTCAGCTTTCACGGCATTCACCGGGGCAATATTATTACCATTGACCGTCCCGCCATTGCCCTTTCTTTTCCAGATCGGAGATGTATCCGGTGCACGAGCAGGGGGCGCTGGCTTTACCTTCTCCTCGCCAGGTTTTCGAGATCGTAGTTTCACCTGTGAGTTCATGTAGTATTTCACGCCATCCTTTGGCGACGATGTTTGATTTTGTTCAATGAGTCTCGTATCCTCTGGAGAAGCCAAGTCCACCTTAATTTGCACATCACTAGCCACTGAGACATTTTCACATGACTCGGAGTTCAGGTTGCGGAAACTGTCAAATGATGCTGACGAACCTCGAGCACTGTCAGCAGTTGTATTGACACTGAAGTCAGACCCAAGCGATGATGCGGATGGGCGATGACTTAACGTCAGCGTGCTCGCCTCCTGACTACTTTCGCTATGTATACTATCACTATGAAAACTATCTGTGAGGATGTCAGTCTCTTTGCTTTCCAGTAAGGTCTCGAAGTCCAAGCTATGAGGATCTACTGCACTTTCTAAAGGTGTTGGTTGTGGAGAGTCACTGGCACTACTGTCATTCATTTCTGGGTAGGAATTACGATTATTATTTGTTTCTTCGATCAGGCCTGCCCCAGGCTTGCCTTTCTTCTCCTTCTCACATGGAATGTCTGATATATCTATCTCAACTGATCTTTCCAATTTCTTTCCACGTCTAGAGAACCGTGCCTTTTGAGAATCCATTTTGACTCCATGGTCAAATGACATTTGGTGATAAAGTTTGCTGTGGTCACGGCCAGATTCGAATTCCGCAACCATCTTTCTGACATCACTTCCAAAAGAACTATCCGAACCTACATCCGAAGCTTCAAACTTCCCATCGGTGATGAAACGATCGGTCCAGATTGTGTTGCTGCGTCCTAGTTCTGACAAACGCTTTGATAGTCTTCGTTCCCCAACAGAATGTCTGAGTTTCTGGAAGTTCTTGGTCATGCAATACTGTCTGAAAGCTCTCTGAATGGTCTTAGCTGCTCGGCGGGATCTGATGGAACCTCCGTATTTGCGCTCTAGCATTTCAACTTGCTTGTCATGTAGGTCCTGAGACAATTCATACGACACGGACTGTGTCCGAGAACGCTTGATCACGTCATCGTTGGAACTCTTGAAGGAACGTTGTCTCTGGATTCGGCTACAGCTGATACTCCCCTGATTGACAAGTTTTGAGCTCCGCGGTGACTCAAGTGGAGATCCCACGGACTGCTTGCGGTCTCCAACTTTCGACCCGCCAACGCTGCAAGAACAAAGATCAGGATATAAATTCATGTTCAACAAACATCAGCAACAAACATTCATTCCTGGAACGGAAACATTACAGCTTAACTTCCCATCTGAAAACGATAGAAAGTTCTTAACCATGCCAGCAATATGTCAAATCGACACAACATAACACACTTCATGAGTCCCATATTCCAATTGCAACCAGAACCTAACAGTATGACGTCATGGTACTTAAATGTCAACGTACAGAAATGGCTGTGTCAAACACACTGAGAAGAGCGAGCATGAGACGCCTGCTGAGACAGACTTCATGACAAAGGTACTGTGCTGTGTCTCTGCACAAGATACACTGTGTACAGGAACCCCTGAAAATGAATACCTCCATACTAAATATACCCTCTGACTCACATGCTCACACCGCTTGCCGCCAAACACACTGCTCGTGCAAGTAAAAATAAAATGCACGACTTTCAACTTCTAACCATCTGTGCATGCAAAAACTGCAAAACAACAATATTTTTCTCTGAACTGGATATATTAACGCCCACAGAATGTTAAAGCTAAAGTTTGAAGGTCTGTCATTGGGCAATGAAGTGTAAACCCTAGATGGTATCAAAGCCTCTTGGACGGGTTCATTGGCTTCTACTGGGACAGAAAAAAGTCACGGATTGTATGTGAGACATATTGAAATAATTTGAGACGGCATTGTGTTACATTATGTTGTGCACAGTGTGGATGATTGATAGTACAGGCATGGTGTCAGGTTTCTGGTTGACTGGCCTGCCACGCGACTTCAACAGAGGCGAGGTTCACATTCATCCAGTCTGTCTCACAGTCCCTGAACCACATTATATTCCCTAGTGCCTAGCCCTCTCTGCAATGCTAAAGCCGTGAATGAAGCAAGTCTAGATTTTCCCAGGTTCTGAATCTCTGGTCTCCCTGGGGTTCCTTTTCAATTTAAATGGGTTTATTTGTTACTATCAAAATTATATCTATTCAGAGACTAAGAGTTAGTCTAACATTCATCCAGCTACAGCCTATACAATGGGACACATTTTTGACACTATGAAACAAACACAAATATACACCAACTTCCAATTTCAAATTTTAAACCTATAGGCTTGTGAATGTGAAGCATTTATTGGACAAGAAATGTTTTTGGTTTTGTCATCGACACATAATACTGATCACCACTGTATGTGAATCTTTAACCATCTCCATGGTCTAGTGGATAGAGAGTTAGCCTGGGAAAGGTCCTGTTTGATTCCTGACCCATTATAACATGATGTGAAATGATGGTACTTATTGTTATCCTACCTGGTATTTATCATTATGGGATAAATCAGAAATATCAGAGGGCTGGCTGACACACACAAAAAAATAGCATTAGTGAGTGCGTTTGGTTTAACGTCGCTTTTAGCAATATTCCAGCAATATCACAGCAGGAGATATCAGAAAGCATTAGTGCAGAGTTACCCACGAGTCATATCAATTTCGGCAGTTTAATGCACAAGTACTGCAACCTAAGGGACATATTTGGCACTGCAAAAAACAGGCATTGGTGTGGCATAGTATAAAAGTTATAACAGTTTCGACTAGTACAAGTACTACTGCCTAAGATATTTATTGCATCCCAAACTTCCTACAGGACAAAGACAACAACAAACACAACAGCAATAACCTTGAGCTCCACAGAAAATCCCATTTTACTTCACCTTAATCTTTCTTTATAGGCGATAACATACATTTGGTCTCTCTAAGCAATCTGACACACCTGTCTATCGTGAAAATCCATTAATTGCATCATGTCAAATAAGTAAGTAACCTTTTGAATTGAAATTTACCTTGCATCATAATTGGATCAATCTGATTACAAGTCAACCTCGTTGCCATGGCAACCCACCTCACGTGGGGGAACCATCTGGAGAGATGGCAGGTAGACTGGTACAGGAGTATAGGAAGAAACAGGCATGAGATAACAGGCAGGATCGTATTACCTCCGATAACAGCTTGCTTGCTTCCTTTTCCCTATCACTTAACACAGCCACAGGTAAACAGCAGATTGTAATCTACCTCCGACAAACACTTCAATACTGCATTTCGGAGTAATCTTGATTTGAGAATGGAAACGCGAAGAAATTGTCTTTCATTTCAAACATGGCCATTTTTTTCGTTCTTGCAATCTTGGATTTGTTTTTATGGTAATTATTAGGAATAATGCATCAATCAAATTTAGCATTTTCAATTATCTGTTGGATCTCTTAACTCCTGGTAAACCACATAATTCTATTTAAGTAGCAAAACCTTGATTTTTACAATCATCATGGCAGTGCTAATTGCCTGCAAAGAAGGTTTCATTAACTCAATATCTGCCTGTTCATTACTTGCTGATAATGGTGTGAGCGTGAATAATATCCAATACTCGCCGGGATATTGTGGCCGAGTTTGAAGGAATTCTGTGTCTTCAAGCAGCTCATTATCATTGTTATATGCATCTGAACATGGGGAAAATCAAATATTGATGCGTGAAGCTAGAAAATGTTCAGCTACCTTATTACATTTTTCAAGTAATCCATATTCGTGAAGCAACAGACTGCATGGACAAAAGCAATTAGAGTTGTTAATGTTCTAATTATGACCAGTGCTGAGTTTCCTGGCTAACGACGTCACTTGAACTCAACTGCTGGGAAACCAACTTAGAATGGGTAGGAGTGATCACGGAGATGTGATCACAGAGGTGTGATCACATGTAGGACAGTGAGGGAGAAAGTCTCATCATTTGGGGGTTGGGTAAGGTTCAGCTGGCTGGTTGGATAGGGTAGTTTGTTGTACAGAACCTGGTGCCTGATCCAGAGACGGTTCTTAGCAGTATGTATTCTTAAGACTATGATAAACCATATGGTTATGACACATCATAATGTTAGGAACACTTTGTGGATCAGGATAAAGAAACACAATTATCAAAATACCCAATGCACATTATTTTTTAATTTTTTTATATTTACCATTTATAAAATTATTTGCAGGTATCAATGCACATTAATGATAGTTAAGCAAGGCTACACTGTTTCAGATTTCTGTTAATATTCTATTCCCGTTCTGCGAGCCTTTCTATATTCTATATACAGTTTTTAATCTTCCTTTTTCAGAGTTCTACTCTAATTTCTCTGGAAATATTAAAGTTCAGTGTGCACATCGAATGTGATAATGGCTACAATGAACAGCAGGGTTTCACAGTAGAGTTTCACAGTATGGTTTCACAGTAGTTTCAGAGTCTGGTTTCACAGCAGGGTTTCAGAGTATGGTTTCGCAGCAGGCATCATCATAATATCGATCTTGAGTGACTGGCAACATGAAAAGATAATTTTACCATGTTTTTGTTCCAATATTTTCAGTTCTGAGATCATTTAGTAGTCTAGACAGAGGGATGAAGCTTCTGTCTTCTGCTGAGGATTTACTAGGAGTTGAAGCAGCAACAGACTACAAGTGACAGAGCTCTGTAGACATAAATCTTTGGGTTGGGTTGATTCGGTCACAGTTGTCGGGGTCCTGGATGTAGACTGTAGTTGGTTTGGTTGGTTTGTTGGATATTGTAATTTATAAGAGTGGCGTACTAGTGAAATGATAGTCTGCCATATTAAGCAATGAAAGTAGATGAAATTTGAGACCACAGACATCGACTTAGTGATTCACAATTCTTTTCCCCATAGAAATGATGTGAGCAAATTTGATCAGATTATTCTGCACCCTAAGGGGATGGCAACAGTCCTTTCAGTGCAAAGTAAATTCAATAATAAAAATATTGAAATTTGTTGGAGCAAGCTCCGATCACAAAGGTCCCTTGATGAAGAAGCTGGTGTCAGATCTTGACCTTAGGATTCATTCAACAGGGTAATGTGGTTTGCTTTTCAAAATATTGGTCCATTTTCCAACTGTTGCTGTAAAATGGAATAAGGATGATCTGAAAACATGCCATGTTTCCTACATAATGGATAATTTGAGGTGGGCTAATGGTGCTTCACTTAAAGTCCAAACTTGGATCTTGACTTGGGTGCAATCATTTACAAGGAAACTCAAGTGGAAAGCCAACAGGCTTATAGAAGTCGGCAACATTGGAATTACTAACCCTGCATGTTCTCAGGGCTGATGCAGCTACCGACTTTTTATGATTTTTAAATCAAACGGATGCAACATTCACGAGTTTAGCAAGAGCCGATGTTTTGAAATATGTGACTGAATGAAGATTAATTCTGGTTTTTATTGGGAAAAGATGCTTCTATTGTTCAGGCGCATTTCAAAGGCAGGATTTCAGTCAAATGGAAATTCTAATCATCAAAGAACAGATGACATTCAATCCGCACCAGTCACAAAGAGACACCTTCGGGAAGAATTCAAGACAGATTTTCAAGTCACTTCCTAATGCACATGAACAAGTCATCAATTAAAAGTCAAAATATCTGGTACCATCCCAACCTTTGCGAATCGTCCATAGGAAATGTCTTCTAAGACCTGGAATCTCTTTCATGAAACAGTAATTAAAGCTAAACAGAAACATGGAACTGAAGATTGGGTAATCACAATCCCAGGCTTACATCATGCATCACACAGTTACCATGGGAAAAGCTGCAATTATAGTTCACCTTTTCTAGGGCAGGATAGATTTGCTTAGTCAATGTGAGAGCTTGTTTTGAAACTTAAGAAGGAACTAACTAGGAGCAAACCTGATAGGCCTCACTGAGATGCCACTGTAGACTAACTCTTAATCTGAATATATGTCATTTTGACAGTAACAAATAAATTCATTTTAAACTGAAAAAGGAGATCCAATGAGACGAGAGCCTCAGAACCTGAACCTGTGAAAATCTTGATTTGCTTCATTTAGGGCGGGGTGGGGGTTGTGTAGCCTAATGGTTAAAGCATCTGCTCGTCACGCTGAAGACCCAGGTTCGATTCTCCACATGGGTACAATGTGTGTAGCCCATTTCTGGTGACCCCTGGAATATTCCTAAAAGA